ATCAACTAGAAGTTGCGAGTCATATAGATATCAACAAAAATGTAACATAATTTGGCTGCCATATATTGATTTCCACCATTGAGGCTATATGTTGGTCAAACTGTCCGAATACAAGAAATATGCACTATAGTAAAACATTAGTTCACCACGCAAGACCAAAACGACAAGACTTTGAACTTCTCAACTTACGATATGAGACATTCTATCACTATTTTTGCATGTTTCCACACGTTTATAATTACAAATGTTTTGCGAGAACGCAAGTGCGGAATAGTGCAAAAACCCGAAACCGAAGGTCAAAGTATGTACATGGTCTAAAAACATTAATAAGACTAAAGATGTAAAGTACCAATCAATTTACCAATACCAATCAAACTATGGAAATTTGTTTAATAACGCTCAGAGTATAATTGCATCATGTAAATGTAAAGTTCTACAACAAACAAAAGATATAATCGTTTGTATGTCTAAATTCAAAATTTTTCCATATGTCATGCATCTAAACCTAACATTTTTTCATAGCTCGAAATTACCCCTCAAAGCTGTCTGGATTACTTAAAGCAAGGCTACACATCAAATGATTTCTACAAAATCTATGATTGCAATGCAAGAAAAATGATTACTGTTTACTGTGATATGACATCCGAACCTGGATCTGCCTGGACGTTGGTCATGTCGTTTGCATTGAAAAACAAAGTAATAGAACAGCTCTCTAAGAAAGGCTTTCAACAAAATGCCCCAGTGAACGAAAACTCGCCCAACTTTGACCTTTATCGTATGAGCAACTCCCAAATGACTTATCTGAAATCGCAGTAGACCCATTGGAGAGTAACATGCGAGTATCCGAACATCAAAGTTGACTATCGAGATTATGTTAGAGTAAAGTTTTCAGATTTTAATGTATTGAACTTTACTGGATTTGGTATTTGTAAGAAAGTAGAGTATGTAAATATCCGTGGTCATCAATGTGCTCAATGTACGTCAAAATGGTGGCAATTATTGAATAGATACGCACCACACATTGACAGCACTAGTCCAGGAGGATGTCAATTCGATGCTAGCGCCGGTGCTGTACGTTACGAGGATGATTTTGGCTACTACACAACGCCTAACAAGAAATTTCGTTGCACAACCAGCGACCTTTCCACAACCAATTGGTGGTTTGGTGCTTACATATAGTTATTTGGTGAAAAGAAACGTTTCAAAACATTTAATGCAGTGATTGTAGTCTAGCCTGGCATGTGAATTGATACGTATACCTAGATATAACCATATCAATAAAACGCACATCAATAATTTGCCTTTATGTTTTATCTTCTTAAGTTGATCAAGAAATGGATAAGAATTAGTCAAAGACGGCAAGTCACACGATATGAAATATTGTGGTGTCCAGTTTCATAGTTTATTGCAACGTAATCAAAACGTTTTTAAGAATTATGTTTTGCAAACGCCAGAGTTAAGCGCTTTTCAACAACATAATAGTTTAATTTTATCGTCAGGCTTTAGCTGCTAAAGACTGACCAACACTCAACGTATCTTGCAAACTGAGCATTTAGGAGCAACATATGAATGAAGCACCTCCTATCAATTAACAATATGGCACCTTTCCTAATCAGACGTTTTTACATTTTCTTGTAAAACACAACAGTAATACATTTTGTAATTGTTAGAAATGACAGTTGTTGCTCGTTGAACATGAAATAATGAATCAATTCAAAATATTGATAAATTGATAAAACACATCCAAATCCTTTCATCTATTTTTTAATAGTTACATTATGAATTGAAATGGATTAATATATACGTACATATGAATACCACCCTAGCAACCCTTCGTCCCCACACACCCAACGCAACTATTGATCTTTCGCCGTCTCTAACCAAGAAGAAGTTCGGTAGAACTTCAAAGCAAATCACTTAAAATCACACGTTTAGCTTTGCTTATGTATGCATATGAATTTTCTGTTCTTATAAAGATGAAAACTTAAAGCAAACCAATATTTCAAGACATACATACAAAAGGCATAACGAAATTATAAATTAATATTACAGTTTCATTGTATTTTGATACATTTGGTGTGTGTCATTTCAGTTATGACATTCACACTGATTTTAAAGGTCAAATAATCCAATGATGACGCATGTATTTATTAACAAAACCTATCGAGGCATCTTCAACAACATTACTACAGGCACGTGCTTTTTTGACGTTTACATTATGAGAGGTTAATACAGAAACGTTCCCAACAAAAAGAACACAGTGCAGTATGATGTTTGTAAACCTACCTGAGCATAATTTATCACAGCCACAGAAATTCTGAGATTTAAACTGATAGACTTGCTATAAATATCTATACTTTTTAACACTAAAAATCATTAGCTTATACGGATGAAATGAATGTCAATCATCAACGAAACAGTCACGTGATAAGATCTCACGAAAACTATTTTTGACAGAGACAAATTTTGAACTGACCAAGAATTTCGGTAGAGCTTGAAACTTTAAAATACATCATCAAAAATAGGATTTTCGTTTCCAAGTTGCAAGTTCTCAAAAGATGAAAATTATAAATAAACAAATCACGTTCAAGACATACATACAAAATTAATGACCAAATCATATATTACAGTTTTCGGTTATAAGCAAATATGTTGGCAAATGGAGGACAAAAGCATTTATCCACTTATTAAAAAGAATGACATAAACATTTATATGCATACGTGCATTTTAATGCGTGAAGAATGACGTATAACTTTTTTGATGACATACAAGTTTCGTAAATATTTACGTTTGAAAAGTGTTTCAGTTGCTTGCAAAATTTCGGAAGTCGTTCACAACACTAACAAAGCAAACTACTAGATATGTTATGCCATCTTCAGAGCAGCGAAATGAGCAATTAATCCTATTTATAATCATAGTCATATGACTGATGTGATAGGTATCTATACTGAATACTTTAGTAATATTTACAGGCTGAATATGGTGTTGATGTGATGAATTTGTTTTTAACGTCTGGTTTGATAATTTAAAACGATGGCGGGCTTCTTTTGAACATGACTAGTTGTACACATGTAGTTAGGTTGTGAAGTGTGGAGGTGTTTGGAAATGAGTAAATTTCTGTCTGAAATTGTGTGTTCTTGGATGCATGTGGAGAGATGGCGATTTGTCTAATTTAATGACAACTCCATAAACCATGCACATAATTCTTGAAGAAAGAAAATAGAATGGTGTTTTTGAAAATAAAGAGGTTTTTTTTTTTTGTATGACTTAGACTGTAACATAGTTTCTTTTTACGTATTCAAAAAATCAAACATGATTATGACAAATAAATTCATCACATCAACACCACATTCAGCCTGTATTTCTAGACTCTTCAGCATAATTTGATACCAATAACATCAGTAACATAAATACAATTGTAAATATAATTAATTGCTCATTCCACAGCATTGAATATGCAAAACATGTTTGCTTTCAAAACAAATATCGCTCACTTTAAATGTTTGTCGTCGATTGTGTTGTTAATTGTAATGGATATATTTTCATGCACTTACTTTTAGTTGCCAATTGAAATACCATGTGTTTATGAAATCCTTGACACGTGCAATAAACACGTATTGGTCAATTCAAGCGCAACCTATGTACACGGTGATGACTACAACATTATACGTATACAGGTCAATTTAAAGAAAACTAAAGTACATGATATGATGGTAATGATTTTATAACACATTGCCGCCGCATCCATCAATTCAAATTCAAAAAAAATGTCAAGAACTTTCGTAATTGACGAAACAGAATTGAAAAACTTCCCTATTTTGCACAAATTCTTTTTTAATTAAAGTTTTCGCATTGCTATTGATTGATGAAAGGGTTGCTTCAATCATGACCTACGCATTATTATTAATTGACGACAAGTTGATACAGAATTGCTTCCCCTATAAAAAGGACAACACCGTTTACGTTTGCACTTGAGCGTTCGTCTCTAAACAAGATAGGCAATACTGTTTTGAAAATTGTGAATTCACGTTTCAAAAAACAAGCAATGGAATTATTGTTTATGCCATCGTTGCTCTTAACGCTTTTCATTCTTCAAGTTAATGCTGTAGGGTCAGCTGACGTTGTGAAACAAAAAAAGGTTTGTTTTAAAATCGATTCAATCTTGACTTGAGGAAATTAAAATTTTCCGACGCATGTTATTGTGAGCCCTATACATAATGTACATTTAATAAGATAAGGTAATGGTCACAAAAAATCTCGAGTGTCGGTGTGTCTATAGGTAGCTAAAGCCATCGACGCCTCAACTCAAACTTGAGGTGATATTCAAAAATAATCAACTAGAAGTTGCGAGTCATATAGATATCAACAAAAATGTAACGTAATTTGGCTGCCGTGTGAGCATAATGCATTTTTGCACGTATATATTGATTTCCACCATTGAGGCTATATGTTGGTCAAACTGTACGAATACAATTAATTTCACCACGCAAGACTAAAACGACAAGACTTTGAACTTCTTCACTTACGATTTGCTATGAGACATTCTTACCATTATGTTTGATGTTTCAATAAGTTAATACCACAAATGCTTTTGGAGAACGCAAGAGCGGAATAGTGCAAAAAACCCGCAGGTTAAAGTATGCACCTGTTCTAAAAACATTTGTAAGAATAAGACGTAAAGTACCGAACAATTTCAATTTTCATCAAACGTCAGACATTGGCCATGAAAAGTGTATAGGTATCTTTTGAATTATCAAGTTTTAAATTTTATCGCCCACATTTAGAATGATAAACAAAATGAAAAAATTCTTCCACAGAATTTATAACAACGGATAAAAATGTTGATCACTGCGATAAAATACATTATGGAAGGTCTTAAAGAGCTCCAAAAGCTATACGTGCACAATTACATCAGTGCATAAATCCATACAACTCGTATATATGGAGTTCTTTCTTATTGTAATAGCAATTCGAACGCAGAAACCACAACAAAACAAACTATGGAAATTTGTTTAATAACGCTCAGGGTATAATTGCATCAAGTAAAAGTAAAATTCTTTAACATACAGAAGATATAATTGTGTGTAGGTCTAAGTGAAAACTTTTCCATATGTCATGCATTTAAACCTGACATTTTTCCATCATAGCTCGAAATTACCCCTCAAAGCTGTCTGGATTACCTAAAACAAGGCTACACATCAAATGATTTCTACAAAATCTATGATTGCAATGCAAGAAAAATGATTACTGTTTACTGTGACATGACATCCGAACCTGGATCTGCCTGGACGTTGGTCATGTCGTTTGCATTGAAAAACAGAGTAATAGAACAGCTCTCTAAGAAAGGCTTTCAACAAAATGCCCCAGTGAACGAAAACTCGCCCAACTTTTACCTTTATCGTATGAGCAACTCTCAAATGACTTATCTGAAATCACAGTCGACCCATTGGAGAGTAACATGCGAGTATCCGAAGATCAAAGTTGACTATCGAGATTATGTAAGAGCAAAGTTCACAGATTTTGATGTGATGACTTTTACTGGATTTGGTATTTGTAAGAAAGTGGAGTATGTAAATATCCGTGGTCATCAATGCGCTTACTGTACGTCAAAATGGTGGCAATTATTGAACAGATACGCACCACACATCGACAGCACTATTCCAGGAGGATGTCAATTCGATGCTAGCGCCGGTGCTGTACGTTACGAGGATGATTTTGGCTACTACACAACGCCTAACAAGAAATTTCGTTGTACAACCAGCGACCTTTCCACAACCAACTGGTGGTTTGGTGCTTACATATGATCACTGCTCACAATAGCAAAGTCAGCCATGTTGCTTCTTAAATACTTGATAAATTTAAAGAACAGTTTTTCTTTTTTACCACTGATTTCTCGATAATAGATGAGGCATGTTCATAATTGGCAATTCTTCGCTCTCCTTTATTTGATTGATAAACCTAATTTGTTATTAATTATATATATTAGTTATTGTGGGAAATCCCTTTCAAAATTTCCATTACATGATTCAACCTAATCATGACAAACGTGTTACAGGCTAGAACTGAAAAGTGTTTTTTCCAACTGCGCAACAAATGTGCGTTGAAGCTTTTTTTTGAACATCTCATACCACTGAAGCAACTTCAGCCTCCTGTTTTTCTTATCTTCAAAAGTCAAAAGCTTTTCTTTCGCCAGAATTCCTGGCAACTCTTTCCATGATTTAAGGTAAATAAAAGGTGCTTTGTAGTGTTTAAGAAGTCTTAAGGGAGCAATTGAACAGTTTCCTCGAGTTCTGACATCTTCAACAACAGGCACAGAGCCCAGAGAGCATGCTTCATAGATACGATAACACTCAGCATTTATACCAACTGGACACAAAGTCAAATCACTGTTTAGTAAAGTGTGATAATATTCTTCTGCAGTCTCTTTACTCTCATTTGGCTGCCACTCCTCTCTTAGTCTTAAATAACAAGCTAAATAAAGCTTATTTTCATAAAACACCTTCTGGAGGATTTCCCTTGAAGAATTGCGATAGACTGTTCCCAGAAAGTTACACTTGTAAGGCCGATACTTTGATATTTCTATTTTATGGGGGTTAATTTTAGGAAATTTTCTATAGGTTGCTACACCTAATGGCCATTGAAATGTATTGTAATTCAAATTTGTAATATCATACACAATGAATGCAATGCGAACTGATCCACCTTCATTTACCATATATGGTAATAACCACTCATTGTTACACTGCTCATTACCCAATAAGATCACGGCAGTATTTTTTAATTTGGGCAATTTTCTTAATGAGTCTAGCCACATTTTAGCAAATTTTATTTTTTCTTCAGATCTTCCATTTATTATAAGAACAAGATTTTCGGCTCCGCGTGGAGCATTTTGTGGTATAATTCCTGCTCCTGTTCTAAACTTGAATTTAATGTTATTAATTATTTTTTCACCTACTTTTACAAGCTCATTGTCGTGCCTTTGAAGACGTCCTTCCATGATATGCTCCCAAAAGTAGAGCCCAATGGCGGCCTTTCCCCACACTTCAACCTGGATCAAATTCTGCTCGTCGCGAATACTATTTCCATTTACTGTAGATGCTTGAAAAACGTTAATTTTTTTACCATTACTCACGTTTTTTGTATTTTCGAACAAACTGTACGCTGAGTAAAAGGTTATAGATATGTATAGCAACAGTATAAACAGACCAAAATAGATGAAAATCTTTCGACTATTTCGGAGTTTGTAACCGCCATGTTGGATTGGCATGTTTTGGTCAATTAACGCATGCGTGTTATAACGTGGTAATCTTCGTTGTTACAATTGGGAGTTTGTTGTATTGTTGTTATATTACACATTGTCTCAGATTTAAAATTGTTCCTCTGTGGAAATTGGAAATGATATGACAATGGTATTGAATACTATTTGCAAATATTACTGTGTCTGATATAAACGAAGAGAAGTATATTCAAGTATTTTGAGATTTTTGATTTTTTGAAATGGTTTGTTTCATTTTTACCAGAAAGTGGAAAAGTATGCTTTACCTAACTTTTTTCTTCTCATTTTCACAACACAGGATGAGAAACTTCTTGAAACGACTATCGAGGCCCTGTTAAATCGCGTGCAGGATTTGAAAAATTCTTGCCAAACATTTCTCATAAAGATAGAACAGCAACAATTAACCTGGTATGAAGTAAAAGTCAGTACTGTAATGGCTAGCTAGTAAAAATTACGAAAGAGGTTTTGTAATTAAGGGATTGAAGTGGAAGAGTGTAAATGTGTGTTGCACAAGCTTAGCAGAGATGATGGTATGTGGTAGGAGATGGTGTTAATAACATTAATATGTGAATATAGATTACATTTATTGTTGAAATGACTACAAGAATGGATAGAATAGAATAGTGGAGCTCACTGCCTAATTTGATAGGAATTTTGATGGGAGAAGAAATTTTTTTTCAGTCATTATGTTCATTACACTATTTGTTCAGATATTAACTAAATTGAGAATATAAAATGTTGCCTTGTGCTAGTTAAGAAGTAACTATGAGAAACAATTTATCAAACAACTTACCTCGTTATCATCAACATAATAATTCAACATTTTCACATTGGTTCTGCTAATAAACTAAAGTTGTCACCAATTAAACTTTCTGTTTGTGGTCCCTCCACTAAATCAACAATTGGAAGTTTGTCATCATTTTGGAAAATACTTTAAAACAAATAAAACTTTGTGGCCAACATAATCTGTAGATAATTCTGTTGAATGGATCAAAGTAATTTATTTTAGTACATTATAACTCAATCGTTGAAATAATTTTGGTATAATTTATCATTTAACATACATATTTTACTTAGAGAATGTTGATAGTTTATAGGAACAAGGCCTCTACAGATGCTAGATTAGTGCAGAAATGCTGACTTACCAAAACAAAATTGCTATAGCATTCAAAATGTGAACCAAATAATTATATTTATAGGCCACAGCTTTTGGACAATTTTGCTGTCATTTCAGGTATAAGCAATCTTCGTCTAGAATGCTAAATCAGTAAATATTATTTTACGCTTTAATACGTGATGATCTTACTATATTTTAGGTCAAGTTAGCACATTGTTTAAAATTTTAAAAAGTGACAGAACACCCGTTCTTCGTAATCTTGTTCTCTTGCCTCTTCTTGTTCAACAAGAGACAGATACAGAGTTACAGGTACTAAAGAACTGGCTTTACATATACTTATGAACACGTTGCTGACGTTGCTCATATACTTTTCTGTTCTTCACTTATTTTATGAATATTAGAGAATATCTGAAGGTCGTATCCACGCTTTCAATCACGAAGTTGGTATGCGCATGTGCTGAGCTTTACGTCATCATGTTAGCTTTATATTTGATGAATATATTTTACATTTAAATTCTTCAAATCACTAGTTCCTGATCATCTGAGGACAAAATACGAACCAGACGTGGAGGAGAAAGAAGCTGCGCTGTCTGAAAAGACGTCTGCAATATCTGACGAATCAACACAGGTAACAGATGAATCGCCTTTATTTGTGAAATTATAACTTAAAGTGGAACAATGAAACATTTGAATCTTTTGTGTTTGTTTCAGAGACAAATATCAGATTTTAATGCTATGCTTTCGCATGTGTTGGATATGATTGGAACAATGCGTGATGAGTGGGATGCTGACCAAGTTTCAGGTTTGCGATAATTTAGGCTTTTCAATACATAGCTACGCATACCCTTTTTGCACCGTTAATATTTGAACCCAGTTCCTTTTTGAAAAATTTAGAGCATATGTTCTTGACTTTTACATTGTAATGTCATTGTACACGTTTAACTTAAACTTGGCGATAAAAATTATTCACGTGTCTATATAATCTATGAGCAATTTTGGCAGTTTTTTTACCATTTGTTGCTAACATCCTTGTTTTTTTATTTTCCCACTATTAGCTGGAAAACCATCAACAGCAGTTAATACTGATGTATCTAAGCTTGTCGGTGCAGTGACATACGGCAAAGGTGATTTTTTTTTAAGAAGGAAAACTTACTTCAATAACTTAAGAACTGACTACATGATGATAACACTAGAAAAATTATATGTTTAAGTTAAAATTTTATGATTAAGGACTGTCGTCGAGTTCATCAAGCTCATCGTCTCATAAGTCTTCATCACAAGGTACATTTAAATAAGGGAGAAGTGTTACTAAGTGGATGACTTTTACTGATGTGAGTAAAGTATTTTTTGTTGTTCATATATAGGTCGTCATTCGTCTTCACAACGCTCAAGTAGTAATTCTTCTGGAAAGGTTTCCAGTAGTGTTAAAACTGATTTAAAGACTAAAGTAATCGATGCTGGCAGCCCGTATGGTGCAAAATAATTATGCAGCTGTAATACATAATCAGAGATTCTTTTGATAAGTTGTTACTTTATGGTAATAATTATATACAAATTTGTTTCAATTCTTCTGACGTTTTTGTTTATGGACTATTTTCTTGTTAGTGAGCGTTACATTCTTTACAGTCAAGTTAAAAAACCAAACTTCACAAACGTGCATGCTGAGTAGCGTGTCAGCATGCACGCAAGTATATTCTTGTAATGCAAATATTTCTGTTCAGTGACTGTGGCAACAGACAAAGAAAAATTCAATGATATAATTGTCTATAGTTTTGTTGCAGGCCTCGTCGATAAAAAATATATATGTGAAAGAAATTATTGCTTAATTCAATCTAAGTTTAAATGTTTCTTTGTCTCTTTTATGTTAAAATGACGTGTTTAAGCGAAACACTCTGTTTTTCTTCAGCATCTTACTCAATCACGAGTATTTAAAATTCAGCACTTTCGGACCTGTTATAGTGATATCATATATGAAGACCTTTTAACATCTGTAACATAATAAAAAATCAATACGCATAGGTCGATCAGTAAGAATGCTTTCTGTTCTATTCTTTCTCATTTATCTTCAAACGATCATCGTTGAGGCAAAGAATAAGGACTTACACTCATCAACGTGAGTCATCTCATAGAGTTGTTTGGATTATCTTAAAAAAGGCTACAAATATGATGGTTTTTACAAAATCCGCGATTTCAATGGCAAAAGGATTATTACTGTGATTTAACCTCGAAGCCTGGATCAGCTTGGACCTTGGTCATGTCTTTTGCATAAAGAAATAGACTCCATCGAACAATTTCCGAGGAAAGGCTTACAACAAGACGCCCCAGTAAACGAGCGATCACCCAACTGGGAGATCTATCGTATGAGCAAGTCTCGATTAATCATCTGAAGTCACAGTCAACCCATTGGAGAGTAACATGCAGTTATCCGACAAACAAAGTTGATTATAGAGATTATGTGAGAGCAAAGTTTTCTGATTTTGATGTCGTACGTTTTGCTGGTTCTGGTACTTGTAAAAAAGAAGAGCTTGTAAATATCCGAGGTTATGCGTGTGCTCAATGTACGTCATTATGGTGGCAAGGAATTGGCACCATGACACATATTGACAGCAGTTTTTCTGGTTGCCAGCTTGACGCTCGCACTGGTTCCACAAGATCTGAAGATAACTTTGGTTCCTATTTGGATTCGTTCAATAAGAAATTTCGTTGCACAGCAAGCAGACTTTCGACTACCAACTGGTGGTTTGGTGGCTACATGACTTTTTAAAAGACGTTTTTAGCTGCCAGTTGTAGTCGTCGTTTATTGTAGCTATATGCCTTTTGTTTTCTCAGTAAAAACCTTCCTATAGCCAAGTATCTAGCTGTTGCAGTCAATTCTCCCTCTCCCTTCTCTTTAATCAAAACGACTCCGCAGTACCCGTTAATTATATATCATTTAATAACATTGGAAGTTTCTGTAACGAATCATCTGTGCATTGCGATATTATTGATTTGTTCATTTCTGGATATTTATATCTCTCAATTTGTGTTTTGTATGCTATTTTCTCCACCATCGGTTCTAATATACAATACGGTGACAGTGGCTCTTGTCTCGATCCAGCATGTTTCTAGCAGGGTAGGGGCCATTTACAAACCCGTTGCTTAGTAATTTTTTCGTTCAGTAATATTTTACCTTATTATTTTCTGTGGAAAAGTCTTGTCAACTTAATGAATCGTTAATGATGTACACGTTATTTAAAACAAGTAAATCCTCGTTTAGCCAATGCCCACATTGTATATGGTAAAAGAAAACTCTACTGACGGTAGAGGAATTTCCACAGCCATTTCTAAATGATGTTATGATTTCAGTGTTAATAAATCGCTGTAAATAATTTAAGGTAGTTAGATTTTATGAGCGTGTTCAATAAATGTCTCGAAGGCTACAGTCTCCAGAGCGTTATCGAACTGGAAAGTGAAAATTAAAAAGTCTTCCAACATAATTTTAACCACCTAGATTTACTTACAAACTGGCTTGACAATATGGTCGACAATACTGTCGGCCATATAATAGAAACATCAAACGACTATCCCTTATGGTTATAATTTTATCTTGGGTATATCTCTGATAATTTTCCCTGTAATACAAATATGTACCTCATGATAGAACAAGAATTTACACGACTCTTAGCACTGACTTATCATCAAGAGCTTGTTGAGGATAATTCACTTTATTGTCCACGTTATAGTAAATAACGTCTCCAAAACAACTGTTGCCGATTATTGTAATGACGGAGACTGACGTTTTAAATTCACTGTCTTCCTTAGAGTAAAAGAAGAATGTCAGTCTGGTTAGTCTTTTTTATGTTCACTCGTTGATGTGTCATGTTCATGAAAGTATGAGAAGCGTTTTAGTCACAGTATAGAAACAAACAGTAGTCTCACCCATTGTGCAACTTGGTGCTGTAGATTTAAATAGATTACTGGCTGTGGATAGCCATCTCAGTGCTCCAATTGGCCAAAAAAAGCAATTGACTGGCTGCCAATATGCTAATCACATGCGTAATTTAAGATATGCGCTACACAAAAAATTTGTTGTGTATTGCAAAATTGTCATTTGTAAGTCGACAATAGTGAAGATAAACCTTTCTTGTACATTTTCGTATATGACGCATGTCGCATGAACAAGCACTGCATTGCTAATGAGTACTTTTTTATCTCTGAATTTGATTCCCACCAAGGAGATTAAAACGTCAGTCATCATACAACATTCAATTCTTGACTTGCAATTCAGCCATGTTGTGGTCAGATACAAAAAAATATTTCATCAGAGTTATTGTTGGCACCAGCCGGCGTGGGCGAGCAACAATGTTTCGCAAATCTCAAGAGAATGGTTGCAAGTCAAGAATCATTTAAATCTCAGGACTCTAGAACATTTCATCTTTCACAAAAGTTATTACTTTAACAAATAACAATATTGTCCTGTCACTTTTTTGTTATTGACCCCTATATTTTACTTAAATCAGAACAGGAAAGAATTTTCTAAAATAAACAGAGTTTTTTTGTTTTTCTTTCAATAAATCTATGTTTAGTTAGATCCTCAGCTCATTCAAAAAAATGCAAGTATTTTTGACCAACCAAATCATAACAGCCGTAAAAACTAAAAAGAGAAAAAGACAAAATGTTTTGTTTTCTGTTTTGGTAACATCTTATTTTAATTCAAACTGGATATTTTTATTCTGGATACTCATAAAAATGCTTCAAATCCGATGGTTTCCACGAAATTGTGCATCTCAATGCAAACAGGTTATTACAGTTTACTGTTACTTGACATCAGAACCTAGATCAGCCAGGACCTTGGGTCCGATAACGTTTGCTTTTCCTTACTCTACAACGAAGACTTCTTATTTACTTTCCTTCCAGACGACAAAACAAACGTACTTTATTCCCGAATAATTTTGAAATCGTCTCAAAAACCTCCATATTAATCTGACATAATAAACCAATTTCCATAACACATTCAAAACGACAACACTGACACAAAAGTAAAAAGCAGTTGTTCACATCGACGTTGTGGATGATGTTTATCTCTTTGCGGCTACCACAAAATTGTCCAGCCAAAGAAGAGGAAATATATTTGTATTTTCTACTTAAAAATATGAAACAATTTCAGCACGTTTTTTATCAGTACTCTATATGGTAAAGGCTCACATTGAGTGCTTAACACGTGACGCTCGCTCGAAAGACATTAGATAACACGTGGAGGAGAGAAATATGATAATAGAGTGAGATTGTTTTTTTAGTTAAAGTGCTTGTAACACAAAGCAGATGTTATTTTACTGTAAAAAAACCCTACTGTGAACGTGTTGAAATGTATAGCGAAGACAATTATGATGTTTTGGTATAAATCTTTAAAATAATTTTGTGGAAAATATTGGTAAACTTTTAAGTTTTTATTTGAGAAGTTACAGCAAACATTCATCATGAACATTCAATTATATTGACAAAAACTGTTTTTCAAGAAAATTTGCGTTTACTGCATTTTTCTACTAATGTAAACATAATGGTAGCACAGACAAAATTAATAAAGTACTTTCTCTACTCATTGAACAGTCATATGTAGCCACCAAACCACCAATTGGTTGTCGAAAATCTGTTTGCTGTACAACGGAATTTCTTGTTAAAAGTGCCGTAGTATCCAAAGTTATCTTCGGAACTGATGGAACCAGCGCTAGGATGAAGTTGACAACCTGAAGACGAACTGTCGATGTGTGCCATGTATGTATTTAATACCTGCCACCATTTTGACGTACACTGAGCACATTGATGACCACGGATGTTTATAAACTCAACTTTCTTACAAATACCAGAACCAGCAAAAGCCAAGACATCGAAGTCTGAAAACTTTGCTCTCACATAATCTCTATAATTAACTTTTTTTGTTGGATAACTGCATGTTGCTCTCCAGTGGGTTGACTGTGATTTCAGATAATTCATCTGAGAGTTGCTCATACGATATATCTCCCAGTTTAGAGAATTCTCGTTTACTGGAGCGTCTTCTTGTAAGGCTTTGCTCTGAAATTGTCCTAGCTGTTTGTTGTTGAAAGCAAACGACATGACCAACGTCCAGGCTGATTCAGGTTCAGATTTTAAGTCACAGTAGACTGTTCGCATTAAAGTTACGAATTTTTTAGAAATCATCTGATTGGTAGCCTTTTTTAAGATAATCCAAACAACTCTGTGCAATGATTCGCGTTGATGATTGTAACTCCAAAGTTTTTGCCTCAACCCTTGTAATTTGAAGAATAAGACAGAACAGAAAAGAAAATATATTATTCAGCAAATTTAAGGTATTCATTTTTATCTTCACTTGTATACTGTTGTACTTGTAACTGCTGTATTCATCTGATCTGAATTTTCCCTACTTTGCGATACTTAAAGGGCTTTTTTAATTTCCTTCGTGCACTTAGCTGAGGAAAGATGAGATGGAGACCATAACACAATTCAATCCTCTTGACGAATCTTGCGTAAACTCGTAATTAGTTTATCTTATTTATTTATAAAAACGCGACAAAAATAGACACAGTCACAAACAAGTCTGTAATCTGTGAGAGCGAAAAATTAATAAAAGCAAAGCATTATGCTTTTTTCCTAAATCTCCTCACGTCAGCTATTAAAGATCGAAAGGAATTTAAGTTTGGAGCTGTTTTTCAGTTTACTTTAGCGACTTGTAACAGTCGTCAATCAATGCACCATATTTCTACACTTTCTTTACACTTTCATTCTCTGAGACAATTCCTGACAATGGTAATTATGATTTTAATTAAAAGAGTTCAAGTGCAACACATAATTATAGACGGTTGAGACAATTGATGTTTCAAATTCATAGTTTTGTCTTTTTTTTATAAATACTTTACGCGTATGTCATTTGTTGGTTAGCGCGTAATTCTATGTCTAAACTCATTTTCACTTTTTCTGTTTTTTAAGAACTAATTAACAGATCAGATGCATGCATCAGTTACTAACACTAGCCAGCTGTTAGTGGCTTAAGTTAATAAGTTTGCCGAAACATGACTGAAAAACGTATACAGCTCTATATTGGCGAAACAATATTACTTCGATGTTTGATTTGTTGTGGTAATTGATTTCATCTGTTGCTGAATATTTTAAGAATATTTTCATACTATGTATTCTATTTTTTGAGCTAAAACTAATCTTACATTAGTGAGATGCAAATTAGCTAGACCTACGCAAATAGTCCTATAATTGCAGCCAATTAGCTAATAAACAAGTTACACCTTCATGACGCCATTGCAGCAGCCATGCATCATATAAAATATTATCTTATACATTAGTATTGTTGAAAATTATAAAACAATCATATGTGTGTTTCATTCGTTAATTTTTTTACCCATTTTGAGAATTTCAGCATTTACATAATTACTTTATTATTTGCTATGCCTCCCTAGAATATACAATGAAGTGAAGCATTTTCATTCACTATAACCATAAACGTTAAACGAAAAATTTTGCGTTACTAGTACACTGATTATAATATACTTCACACTATATGTATCAGTGATATTTTCAAAGAAAATAAAGCGGAAATATTTTGCATAAACTGTCATCGGTCATGTGAATTTGTTTAATTTAATTTGCAGACAATACGGATTCAAAATTAAATAACAATGTTCCATTACTAGGAACAAAGTGACAAAAATACTTATTTTATAAACATAATTTTCAGTTATATAGTGTATATAGACTTAGTTAAAATATTTCATATAAAGATGCTCGAAGCCTCGGAAATATGAAATCATTTCACATTTAAAATTTTTATTTGTGTCAAACTTCTAAGTGAATACAGATTTATTTGTGTCAAACTTCTAAGTGAATACAGAATATTTATCTCAAACTTCTAAGTGAACACAGAATACAGATCAGTACAGAGACACTACTCAATCCTTATTTTACACACTTAACTTAAATGCAGCTACATAATTATTAATTCAGTGATGCTATATTTGGTACATACTTGTTATTGCATGTATCTCTAAATGGTGTTTCTAAGGTAGATTTGAAGTATTTGATTAGAGTGACATCTTCAGTTTTGTGGAATCATGTCTATGATTTCTTTGCCATACTACAGACTGTTTGATTCCTGTGTCTTTGTTGTGTGTTAATACATAATAAGGCAAAATTATAATGTGTCAATGGGAGACTCATTAACCTGTTGATGTCTTCTTTCAGCTCAGTGTACAAAGTATGATTTCCTTACTAAAATTTTAAGAAATTGAAAATTGCATTCTTAAAATTAATCTGTCGAGGACATCGACACAAAACGCAAAGTAATCCCAAATGTTCACTTAATAACGTCATCCGTAAAAACATGTTATTTTGCCTTCATTATGTAAAAACACAACAGGTAATGTTCTCAGGTTTGTCAAATGACAAAGAGCTAATTGAACACAACATCATATTCATATTAAAGAAATTTAGGAAACGCCCACGTATCGTTTACACGACTTCGTAAAAATTTAGGAAGAATAAAGTGAACAAGTGAACTCACAAAATATTGGCATACACAAAATATTTACGCCACTTTCACGATTTCTTCAAAGATACACTAAATTTTACTGTTTGAATATGCACACAGATTGAATAATACTTATTTTTCATTTGCATCCGCTTTGTATCCATTCTATTTTACGTTGTAACTACCACTTACATTATGAATTTTCAAATGAAAAATATTAAGCTGACCGTTAAACTCATTACTAAAGTTGAGACAACTATGCGAGAAGCCAAATTGAGATATGCGGATTTGTGTCGATATGAGTTGTGAAAATACAACAATTAAAAGAAAAAAAGTTATCGTGTTCATATGGAAATGCGGGAAGAGCATTTACCTCTACAAATGGCTGGCATTTTTATAAGAAAACTAGCAATTTCGAGCTAACAATGTCGTATCTGCTGTACATATGCATGATAAAGAAAAAATAATCATACATATTAATTTCCTCATGACCTCTTAAAACTTAACATTAAACAGATTTTGACTGTGTTCGAGTGTCTGTATAAATGTTATTTTCCTTCAGCTGAGTTAGCTAGCTATGTAGGAGCAAGAAAGATACTTTTCATGAAAATAAAAAATTTATAGCTCAAAACGTGAGGAGAGTGTAAGGTAACAAGGGAAATTATGTCCAAAGCACAGCTAGAAATCTTTGCCATTAAATGATTATCGAAGATATTTAAGGGAAATCAAACCAGTGGCATGCATGAAATTTTCATATCAGGACACAATTTAGCTTACGATTTGGAGCATGGAATATTTTAAATCATCTTACCTACTTCAGTGTAAATTTGTTCTTAAATGTTAGATCACATGAAACAAATGTATTTCCACAAAGAAGCTTAAGAACCATGAAAATCATCAATATTTAGCACAGTTTCCATTTATAGCCACCTTGCACTATATTGCGTGAAGAAATTATTGAGGCAAGCTATAACAATTTAATTGACATCGTTCTCCTATTGCAAGTCTCTGTCCTTCATTAACGCTGATAAAATGAATTTAAAACATAAACTCCTGGTACAAATTTTATTTTCATTTTAGTGATGTCAATGTCTCTGCTTTATAGAATTATTTGGTTGGTATTCCAATAGTTTAACAGCTCTTTTTTGAACTATTAGGTTATTTTGGCCATCCACCATGTTAATTACTATTTTTAAAACAATTTTTAAATTCGTCATCACGAGATAGCATCTATTTTACTAAGTTCTCTTAATTAAGAAGGTTTTGGAAAAGTATTCTTCTTTTATTTAATTTTTGACAAATAAAATGTACATCTACTACTATATCAAATTGGCTAATGTCATATTGTTTCATAAATCGTACAGTCCTCTTCAAATAGCACATACAGTAAATAAGGAGAATTTAAGTTAGTTAACTTACGACAAACTGTACCAATATTTTACTAACTGGAGAAATAGCTGAGAACATGTGAAGGTTTTTATCTTTTCTAACAAAATCAAGTGCAAAAGGACTTTAAAAAAATATAAAGCATTTCACTTAAACAATCAAAGTTCTATTTTTCTCTATTTATTATGCAATGTACATTGGATATTTGATACTACATGTAAATATTTGGTAAATGTAGATATTAAGTATGGTTTTTGTTTGTAAGAAAAACTAATCATTTCTTACCATTCTAGATTTTGAAATACAAAAAAATCTTTTAAAAAATATCTAGCTATAAAACATGAGTAAACTGAACTGAAAAGAAAATAATGAAATATAATGTTTCTGTACGTCTGTTTTGTCTCAAATTAATGATATGCTTAAGCAAGACACTCTATGCTAGTCTTTAGCAAACTGCTCTTACAAATGTTTTTTAAACTCATTCGGTTTTTATGAACTTTATCATATTAAGCAATACTAACAGCTGTAACAAATAAATAAGCATTGCAAGTCAGTTATTAAACATGTTTTCATTTGTGTTCTATCTTTTTCTTCTTCAAGCGATTATCGTTGAGACAAAGAGTATGAAGTCTTCACAAGTTGCCTCACAAAGTTGTCTGGATTACTTTAAAAAAGGTTACTAATCTGATGGTTTCTACAAAATTCGTGATTTCAGTGGAAACAGGATCATTACAGTCTACTGTGACTTAACCTCGGAGCCTGGATCAGCCTGGACCTTGGTAAGTTCATTTGCATTCAAAAACAGGGCGCTCGAAAAATTTCAGAGGAAAGGCTTACAACAAGACGCTCCAGTAAACGAGCATTCACCCAACTGGGAAATATATCGTATGAGAAAATCTCAGATGAGTTATCTGAAATCAGAGTCGACCCACTGGAGAGCAACATGCAGTTATCAGAAGAACAAAGTCGATTATAGAGATTATGTCAGAGCTATGTTTTCTGATTTTGACGTCACGACTTTAGCTGGCCATGGTATTTGCAAGAAAGTAGAGTTTGTAAACATCCGTGGTCATCAATGTGCTCAATGTACGTCAAAATGGTGGCAATGAAATACATTCATGGCACACATCGATAGCACGTCTTCAGGTTGTCAACTTGACGCTCGAACTGGTTCTGTAAGTTCTGAAGATAACTTTGGCTACTATGGTGATGTTAACAAGAAATTTCGTTGCACTGCAAGCAGGCTTTCGACTACCAACTGGTGGTTTGGTGGATACATAGCTGTTTAAAAACTAGAAATATTTTGCTATTTAGTGAATACCGTTGATATTGAAAATCGTAGTAATCGTAACGTAGTGGAAATCGTAAAGTAAAGTAACGCATTTATTAACAGTTTTCGTCCATATTATTTTTTGTTTAACAAATTTGTGAAAATCAATAAAACTTCAAGTCACTCAAACTTCTTCAA